AATAAAAATAAAATGTAACTAAAACAAAATTTGTTTAATATATTATATATATATACCTATAATATATATACATATAATATGTATATTTGTTTGTGTAATATATTATATATATACACATAATATATCATCAACTTTATTCAGTGTTGTTCCTTTAAAACCGCACCATTCGACCATAAAACCGAACCGCATCGAATTTTTTGCGGTTTTTTAAAATCTTAACCTCACCACAAACTGCAATCTTAAAAAATCGAACAACACCGCACTGAATACATCAGTTCGGTTCGGTTTTTTGGTTTCAGTTCGGTTTTCTCACCCCTACTTACACTACACGAAAGACATATGCGAATATTATTAATTTTTTATTTATTAGATTTTATTTAATTTACCATTTTAACCTTAGTGTAATAAGTATAATATTAAATAATATTTAATTAACTTATTTGTATTACAAATCTGTTGCGTGCACCGTTTACATAATATCCAATATAGCAATTACAATCCCCTCTTAATATAATTTGAAAACGTGTTGAGCCTAAATGGCTGCCTCGCACGTTTCGGAAGCTTACTTGGCAACATTACATGCTTCGGCTTTTAGTTCGGATACATTCCCTAATTCTGTACAATAAAATAATTAATAAATAAGATTTTAAATATAATTTGTGCTTCGGCTTTTGGTTCGGATACATTCCCTAATTCTGTAAAATAAAATAATTAATAAATAAGATTTTTGCTTAATCTGATCCCCTCCAACTATAAAATAAATAGGATTCTTATCTTATATACCGTGTTCCCTAATTCTGTAAAATAAAATAATTATCCCTCCAACTACAAAATAAATAGGATTCTTACCTCATATACCGTGTAAATAGATTCTTATCTTATATACAGTGTGTAAATAGGATTTTTTGCTTAATATTATAATAAAAATTTAGACGTAATTCATGAAATACCAAAATAAAAATTCTAGCTTTATATATTATTTTATTTATATAATTAATGTAAATAATAACTTTTTTATATAGTTTAAATTAAAAAAATACTATAATTTTACAAAAATAAATTGGACACATATATAGCCACTTGCATATTATATGTTTTCAATCCAACCATGGTAAATAAGCTCTTAGAAATTTGCATTATTATATTACACTCACTAAAGTGTGCCACTAATTCCATTCAGGCCGAACTTCTACTACCCATCCACGAAATAAAAATCCCATCCACGAAATAAAAATCCCAACTATATGCGGCCTTATATGTTGGAATATGGCCCAGTGGATACTTTGGAACACTCCAAGCCCAAATTTTCAATGTTCTCTTGGTGGCCTACGAAAGTTTGAACTTTCGACCAATAAAACTTACGGGCCAAAATATACTTTTTACTGTCCAAATCATGTCATCGTTCTCTTAAAAAGTGCATGACCTTTTTAAAATAATAGTTTTGTTCGATTATATTTTTAAAGCTCAACTGTAAGTGTACGGTTTCGCTCGTGGCAAGCAAGGTCGTATCTTAAGAGACCAAATAATAATTAATATATTAATTACAAATTATAATAGTGTCAACTTTATTTAAACAACCGAATATGAGATGAATTAACTAAACTAAGAAAATATAATCAAAACAATAAAGCAAGAACAAGGAATTAACTAAAGAACGCGTCATACAAATATATGGGAATAAGAGATTCTAAGACAATTATCCGGTGTGTGTAACAATATCAAACCACATTCATCACATCCAATGTCTTTTTCCTCGAGTTCTCTCCTACAACGTTTCGACTGAACTCAAACTTTTCAAGTTCTTCCAATTACTAGATCAAACACACCTCATACTACTTTTTATCTTCTTCCGAATATTTGGGATCATTACGTCAGTCATAGTCTATCACATCCTCATCCATCATTAAAAAAAATAAAAAGAAAAAAAAAATGTTAGCAAGAAATACAAAAATTGTCTAAATTAAAACCAACATTATCTATCATAATATTGATACAAGTAGTTATATTAGTCCTCGGCAACGGCACCAAAAACTTGTTCTTTATATTTTTAAAGCTCAACCGCAAGTGTACGGCTTCGCTCGTAGTATGTGACAAACAATGTCGTATCCCAAGAGATCAAATAATTAATATATCAAGTACTAGATTATAATAGTGTCAACTTTATTTAGACGATCGAATATAAGATGGATTAACTAAACTAAAAAATATAATTAAAAGAGTAAAACAAGAACAATGAATTAACTAAAGAACACGTAAGACAAATATATGAGAATGAGAGATTCTAAGAATATTGTTTCAATTAATAGTTAGGATCCTTCAAAAACATCACAACTAAATATTTCCTTTGTCTACCCTACAAGCTGATCACAAATTTAGCTTATCGTACCTCTCGAGATTAATGAACCGTAGATTAAATTACATATATTAGCGTCTCCACTCAACACATGCAATTCAATTCTAAATAAAACAAAAGATCTAGTATCCTCACAACAACCTACTAATCTTTCAATTCAAGCACGTAAATTGTGTCAAATATTAAAAACCTAATATTAAACTCATCTTTCAGATTATGAACAATATTGTCAAACATGTAAAAGCATTGGCCAAGTGCTAAACATGAAATAAAAACAAAGTATTTGAATATGATTCAAATGAAAACAATCAATTATAATAAATTATCCAAAATCTCAACATATTAATCTACTACTAAGTCCTAGAATCAAATAAACTAGCCACTCATGTTCGAAGTCAAACACATAGACATATTGGAATCTTCTTTGCTTCCTTCGTAGTTGATTCCTTCGTAGTTGAATCTTCTTTGCTTCCTAATGCTTCTCTTGCGTATTCTAGGGATCCTCCTATTGTTTCTCCTGTTCTCCTAATCTCAAATAGGGTATGCCTTTCATAACGTTCAAAATCCTTCTTCTTTTCATAATAGGCAAGAAATAATAAATAGCCTGCACGCGCGCCACGGCCATTCTGCCCGTGGCATTGGCCGTGTCGCAGCCCGTGTCGTGTTTAATGTCTCAAAATCTCACTGTTGGGGTGGCACGGCCTCTAACATTGGCAGTAATGCCCGTGCTACAAATCTGCACTCTCATTTTTGCTCGTTTCACTCGGTTTTTCCAGTTCTTCGTCTATGCATCAATCTGTCATCATCTCGGGGGTATTAGGTACTCACCATGGGCTTCCAATAGCCAAAACCTCTACAAAAATATGGAAATATCTACAAAACAAGCACGTGTAATACATTTCCAACAAGATATAAATTTAAAGCACAATAATGCAATTAATACACCACTAATAAAATGAATAAGCTCTAAAGACTATATAAAATATGGTGTAAAATCACACATGAACAAATTTACATAAATAATATGACTTATTAATTGGGATTTGTCTACAGTCCCGTCATGGAATGATTCCGTGAGGGATTTTAGCCATCAAATATTTGTTTCCTTATCAGCTGTTATTTATATTTTTTTTAATTTTCATTTTCTTTATTTTCTTAATAAATATGATACTGTCTTTAACGGTGTGACGGTTCTCTCTCTTCTTCTTTTCACGTTCTCACTCTCTGGCTCTCGCCGTTTTCCGGTGTTCGTGTTGTTCATTGCAATTCGGAGGTCGATTCGCGTCATTTGCAATTCAAAGCGAATTGTTCGAGGTCTAAGGCTGGGGTTTTGTTCGTGATGGTCGGCGGCCACGGGTTTTGGAGAAATTGATTGTTGAGACCAATGTTTTAAATATCGTACTGGTGACCATATCGGACGAGCCACCGGTATACGGTTCAACCGGTTCAACCGTCTATTTCACTGGTTTTAATAAATATTAAATTAATCTATTATGTAATATAAATAATATATAAAACTAACTATAATAAATACTAAAATTATCTAAAGTCAAATAACAATATTATAGATATATTAAATTTAAGTGTAGAACTTTCTATTTATATAAATAAATTAATAAAAATATGTTATAAAAATATATATTTTTTTTAAAATCCGGTATGCCCGGTATTTTGGCCGGTAAAACCGGTATTTTTCGGTATGAAGCCGGTATAAACCGGTAATTTAGCCAAAACGGTATTTTGCAGGTAATCATACCGGTTGAACCACCGGTATCCGATATTACCGGTTATACCGGCCGGTACATAACGGTATTTAAAACACTGGTTGAGACCTCAGAGGCAGGCTATAATGATTAAGTTACCTTGGATATTAAGTGAAAAAAATTGCAAGTATGGATATGAGGAACAGAAATAAAGTGAAGCAAGCATGAAGAAATGAAAATTACATTACAAATATAAATATGTTACCTAGTCGATAACAATGAAAATTACAACCATAAATTATTGCAAAGGGGTAGGAGTTGTCTTAGGAGCAGTTGGGGAGGTCGAATGAGTCGGTTGATCGACGATATTCTAAATAGATAATTCATCTAAATTTAGAACATCGAGTAGATAAAAAAATGTTAACATCCTCAAGAAATGCTTCCTAGCCAGATTCTCTCAAATTTTCACATTATTTAATATATACTCCATTAAGTGATCCTTAACAAGAACTATTAAAAGCCTAAGTAGTCAACTAATTAAGTCTAAAATAAAAAGAGAGATAATGATAATTAGACAAATGGAACAAACATCTAATACGGATTAAAAATATAAACTTATCATTAAAGAAGAAAATTATTGTTTGGTAGAATTTTTCTACTCTAACGTTCGTAGTTCACATAGTACATGCTCTTGTTCTGCTTGTGGGTAATAGCAATTAGGTAATGGAGAACGGGTTAATGAAAAAGGTCAAAAGGTATTTTAAAAACCAATCATATATAATATTTTATTTTTGAATGATGCACTAGGCATAAGTAAATAAAGTGAATATTTATTGGGCTAGTCTTTTGGGAAAAAAGTAAATAAAATGGGTTCATTCATTTCAAGTAGGCAGATTTATTTACAAAACCCTCCTATCTCCCCTAAACACAAAAAACCAGATCTGTCAAATCTTGCTGCCTCCTCTCGGTCGATTAGCGCAGCTCCACCACCGTGGGTACCTGCTCCGGCGCGGTTCGAGGCTCTCGCCCCTGTGCGGTCGTCTCTCTCGGCGCAGATGTCGCCCTTCCCGGGTTGCTGCGGCGGTTATTGAGGAGACCCCCGGTGGAGAGGGCGGGATTGCGGGCATCGCTTGTCTCATCGCGACAGACGGTGTTTTGGCCGGCGCTGGCGCTTCCCTCTGTTGTCTTCTCCGATTCCTGGGTTGGAATGGTGAAAGCTCTCCGCTGGATTGTGGGAGGGAGATGGTTTTGGTGTGGGCTTCCGGGGTGGTTCTAAGGTTGGTTGGTCTGTTACGAGGTAGATCTATGGTACCCTTCATCCTATCGGTGACGGAAGTGTCGAGATCTGCCTCTTGGGCGCATTTTGGGCGTTGGCCAGGCTTGGAGGGGTCGTTTTCGGCCTACATCTCGCGGGGTGAAGTTCCGTTGCTAATTCGTGACCGTAGGGGAGGGCTCTAGCTTATATTTTTTCGTTTTTAGTTTTGGTATATTTCAGTTAGTTTCTTCTAGTGTTTCTAGTTTGTATTTACCTAGTTCGGTCTTTTGGCACTGATGGAGTTGAATGATTAACCTGGGTGGGCTCGATCGCTTATTGATTGCCATTCGGGGTGACGGTCAAACAATTTCATTAGTGTTGCCGGAATGGGATTGTCGTGTTGTGTTGTTTTGTTGTTTAGCTTGTAGTAGTTTCTCCCGTAGGGGAGTATTGTTTCTCCCGTTTGGGAGCTTTTTCTCCCGTTGGGGAGTTCTTTCTCCCGTAGGGGAGTTCTTTCTCCAGTTGTGGAGTTTGTGTTGTTTTGTTAGTGGGTGCGTTCTAGGCGATCCATTGGATCTGTCCTCCCACTAGATTCAGCTTTTGAGCTGTCTTTTCGGCTTTTGAGCTGTTCTAGATGTATTTATGTGTTTTATGATATAAAATTTCTATCGTTTTGGAAAAAAAAAAAGACTAGGGACACTATACAATTTTTTTTTAAAAAAAAAAAATTCAATTATTTTTAATCAATCACTTTTTTTAATTCAAAATTATTTCTACGTTATCTCAACACCATTATACTCAATATTATCAATATAAATAGATAATATCATTCAATTATTCTTACACATTAAATCAACTTTAATTCACAATTTTTCCACTCACATAATTTTAACTAATCATCACTTCACATAATCTATTTCCTACTTTTACATCAAGTCAACTTTAATTTTTTATTTTAAATATTATTTTAATATAAACTCAAAATCTCACAAACAAACTAATCATACAACTTTTTCAAAAAATAATCATACCAAACCAAAAAATTCAAACAAAATCAAAACTATCTTATATCCAAACATCCATTGTGGGGCTTAGGGCGTGCTTGTTTATGAAATATTTCATTCAAAATGAATTATTTTAGTTAACTAGAGTTAATTTTGAAAAAGGTAGTATGGTTAATTGTTAGTGGGATTTTAATAATATATTAAAATAATATTTAAAATAAAATGATTATTAATGATTTGATGTAAAAGTAGGATATAAATGATTGAAAATGATTGGAAATGATAGGTAGTTAAAATTATGTGAGTGGATGAATAGTGAATTAAAGTTGATGTGATATGTAAGAATGATTTGTTTATAATATTTAATTATATAAATAATATAAATAATAGTGGAGTTGAGTTAAAGTTGAGTTAGATTTTGAGTGTGAAATGAATTATTTCATAAACAAGCATGCCCTTAGTTCCTCTTCTGATTCAAACTCACAAACATCCATCCGTCGGCTTAGTTCCTCTTTTGATTGTAACTCATAGGTAGATTGATTATAATTTCACTCCGCTTTAGGGGATTTGATCAATTTACAAGTTGAGAATTCAGCCTGAACATCCGGAATTCCCAACTCTAATAAACAAATAAACTATGAAACAAAAGGAAAACTAACTGCAAGACAGTCATCATAACCTCATACACACACAAGCCGGACACAAAACAAACCATACAACACATGAAAAATGAAGCAAAAAAAGATGCCACTACATCAATCTGTTCACCAAGATGGTGAACCCAAGCCCACGTCAGCAGCACCTCACGATTCCCCTTCGGACGAGCCCCTATTCGTGGACCCCACCCCCCGAACCCCCTCCATCATCCCAACCACCTCCGACATCGTCGGCCGCTGGCCCGCCGCCCTTACCACGCACCCCAACGCAATCCGCAAAACTTCCACCAATTCCTCCTCTATATTGTCCGCACACCTCAGGAACTCCACATCAAAGACCTCGGCCGTCCACTCCTCCCGCACCACCGAATGGACCCACCGCACCAGGTGGACCATCTCGTCACCGTTGACCGTGTGGACCGCGGTCTTCCCAGTCAGCAGCTCCAGCAGGACAACTCCAAATCCGTACACGTCAGATGCCTGCTGGGACTTGCGCGTGTCCGTAACCTCCGGGGCCCGATACCCTGCAGCTCGGGCCACCGGAGGGGATAACGGGCTCATCACTGTCGAGAGGCCCAAATCAGACACGCAGCCAGATTTACGGGAATTTAGGAAAACGTTGGATGATTTAATGTTGCCGTGGACTAGCTTCCCGCCATTTTCCATGTGGACACGAGCTATGCCCCGTGCAGCGCCTTTCGCTATGTTTAGTCGGGTCTCCCAGTCGAGTGGGGCCCGATTGACTCCTCTTTTGCCTGAAAAAGATGGAATTTATTTTTGTTAAAAAATAAATGGGAAATATTGGTAATTTGTATACATGTGGATTGTTTCAAACTAATTTTGATTATTGAATCAAATTTTTGTGATGATTGAGCAATAACTGAATGTTGTCTGTTTGTTCATGAGGAAGAATGAAAAAGGGAAAACTGTTGGCACTCAACGGAAACAAACAGTACATGTCATGATGTCATGAGTAACATTTTGAATTTAATAGGACGGCTCTCACATGCACCCAATGGACCACTTAATATGGAATGATAATATTCCCATCTTTTGCACATCATCATTAATGTAAAAGAAGACAGAAAGAGTGACATAGAGCCTAATTCTTCAATAATGAGGTCAAAAAAATACTATTCATCTGCCCCACTTTGATGCTGTAACATGCTTGGATTATGAACTAACCATTCTAATTAATGTATAACCAACTTTCATATTGTTGAAAGAATATCTTAGATTACTGCTGGCAGTACCTAACAAATTCTAGCCTTGAGGAATATTTAGGTCCATCTGCAAGATAGTTCCAACTATTGAACACGAGATGTACACATTATATGAATAAAAATAGGGTTCTGCTGTCTTTCAACTTTCATCAAGGCTAAACAAAATAAATTAAAGATAAAAGTGCAATAATTGTAATAAACAATACCAAATTATAGTTTAAGAAACATACCGTGCAACATTGAAGCTAAACTGCCTTCTACATAGTAATCGTAAACCATAAGCTTCTCATCCTTGGAATAGTAATAAGCTCTAAGCTCGACCACATTCTCGTGCTTAATGCCACCAATCAAATTCATCTGATGCTCGAACTCTTTTTTTCCTGCATTCACGTCCTTTAGCCTTTTCACGACCACCATTGTTGCATCCTCAAGTGTCGCCCTATAAGTCGTCCCAAACGTGCCCTTACCCAAAACCTCGGCTGAGGCCCTCAGCAAATCCTCCAAATCAAACGCGTAATTACACCCCTCAAAGAAAGTTAACTTATTGCTTGCATCTAGGCTACGCGAGATAGCTTTTTCCGGGGACATATTACCTTTTTCCAATTTTCCAGGGAAATTATTGATATTTTTTCTTCTGAGAAAGAAGATGAGCAGCATAATACCGAAACCGAGAAGCACAAGAACTAAACCGGTTATGATAATCCCAAGCAAAGCCTGTTCACTTAATTTTCGGACGTTTTTTCCAGGATTGTGGTCGTGAGGAGCCAATACAATAGGAGAATTAGTAATAGTGTAATTCAACAAAGACTTGTTATTGCCCAAAAACACAGACTTTGGAAACCTCTGAAGTGACTTAGGCACACTACCAACAAGATCGTTATATGATAAATTAAGCAACTGCAAATTCGGCAAATCTAAATCGGGTATTTCGCCGGAAAGTGAATTGTTAGCGAGATTCAAAGCAACAAGCTGAGTCAAGCTCGAAAACGACGAAGGAATCGGGCCGTTAAACCCATTGTTCGACAAATTAACTATGGTCAGGTTTTTCCAAGCAGAGAAGTCCAAAGGCAGGGGACCCCTGAAACTATTGTGCTGAAGATAAAGAAAGGTTAGGTTTTTCAGATTACCAAAGTCTGTAGGGAAAGTGCCATTAATCCCATTGGACCTCAAGCTCAGGACCTGCAGTGCCGATAACCGGCTCAACGTGTTCTCCGGAATCTGGCCGCGAAACCCTAACCCCGGCAGCCTGACAGAAATTACCCTTCTGCCCTCCTCGTCGCAGGTAATTCCGGTCCAGTTCTTGCAGACCGGAAACTTCTCGTCCCAGTTCAGAGGCCGCCGCAAACGGTTGAGCTTGCCGGAAAAGTCGAGCAGCGCTTGCTTGTCACTTTCAAGAAGTGCGGTCTCAGCAAGCACGATTGACGACCAAAAAAGAAAACTTGCCAACAAGAAACGCAGAGGGAAAAGATGGAGCTTCTCCATTTCAAGANCCGAAGATTTTCAAGGTGGTGTTCAAAATAAAGAAGGCATCATCTGTTTTTCGAATTGACAGAACAAGAAAGGGTGGAGACAAAATATATACATGCGCGAGGAGGGATAAAAGAAGAAAGAAAACTGTAAAAGGAAGCAGAGTCCGAGACTGTTGTCCGGATAAAGTTGAGTGAGGCTCTGAAAATGGGCTTTAGTTATTGGAGCTACCAGAGTTTGAATTAGGGGGACTCCGGGAGTTCATGTGAGCGGAAGCAGAAGCGTATTTCTCATCTGTTTTAAATTTTTAATTCAGTCATCTTCCCTTCTAAATTCACCTAATCACCTATCTTATCTGTTTTAAATTTTTATTCAATCTTTTGTCCGTATTCACATATCCGTGGCTGAAACTTTCTTATGTAGTATAAAAGTATGTCATTTTTAGTATAATTATGCATATTATTCAAAAATATGAAAGATTGACTAGCCCAATTATTATAAAAAAATAATAAATTTAACATTTGAGATAATTATTATTTTCCAGTTTGAACAATACATACTTATTCAATTTAACATTAGTGATGCTCTTGTGTGTTATTAGGAAAGAAACTTGCGCTTAGGGTTGTAAATGAATCGAATCAAAGCGAATACTATGCTATTCGATTCGAATTCGAAAAAATATTCGAGTATTCGAATTCGGATTCGATTCATAAACGAACTTAAATGTTGATTCGTATTCGATTCGTTAATAATATTTGAATATATTCGATTCGATTCGAAATTCGTTTACAGAAAAATATTTTTATTTGCAAAAATGTTGATAATGTTTTTCCTATTGAATTTGAGTGTAACAAGTACATTGAGCCCATGAATAAAACATAAATAAGCATTCATAATTACTTGATGAATCCATTAATAAAATAACCAACTTCAAAACCACAAACATAATTCATTCATCCTAAAATATTAACAGCAAAAATACATGAACACAATAAAGTTCATAGTTCTTTCCTTCACTTCAAACACATTCCTTAAACACAATTAAAAATAAAAATAAAAATTGTTCTAATTTTACTACAACAAAACATTGAACATCAACTTCACTCAAACACCATCGACTTAGCCATTCATCAATCATCATGCTTTTAACCGGACATCAACTTGCTCTTTCTCCTCCTACAAAAATATAAGATGCAATTATTAGGGATTATTGTCATATTTACCAAATAAGAATAAAAACATTCATCATCAACTTTGCTCCAACATCAACTTAACTATTCATCATGCTTTCAAATAGACATCAACTTGCTCTTTTTCCTCCTACAAAAATAAAAAGTAAGATTATTACGAATCATTGTCATAATTCATTAAAAGAACTTTATCTACTACAATGAAAATTTATAGAAAGAGAGCTTACATATGTCATATTTGGTTTATTAAGCCCGTGAAGTTGGCAAACCCAGTCTGCTCCACAAATAAGAACTTCCACCATATTAGATGATAAGTTAGAACGATAATAATCTAACACTCGGGTGCCCGCACTAAAAGTGGCCTCTGATGTCACTGTGCTAATAGGAATACCCAAAACATCACGAGCCAACTTGGATAAAAGTTTTGCAAAAAAGAGTTTGCAATTTGAGTGGAAAAACAAAACATAGGAAATGAAAAAAGATTCAAATGTAAGGGTCTAAAAGGACGCCTTATATGCATAAGCTTGTTTTACATTTTCTTTATTCAAATTTTGAAAATCAAATTTGAAACTTGTTTTAGAAATATGAATGTTTTATATATGTCTACACTCCTAAGTATCCATTGCAACAAGTTGCATGAATAGTGTAATATAATTAAAACTGATAAGTCGATTCAACCTAATATAAATGGCAACGAGATAGAAGTGTTCAAGTAAACCTAATATATATGTATGTATGTAAAGAAGGATAAAAACAAAGTAGCCATTAAATATAAGTTTCTTTTGTGTTTTTTAAGTTCTGGGTCACTAAATAGTTATTATTTTTTCACTAGATTTATGACTGAATATAATTTATTTTTCACAAAATTCATGATTCTTATAGTTCCACTTTTTTATTTTCAATCAGACGCGATTAAATAAAAAAAAAAAAATCATTACTATACCTTAAAAAAACACAATTCATTTTACTCATATATTTTAAAATATCAGTTATTTATATTTATTATTTTATTATTTTTTATTTCACAAAAAAATTAATCATCTCACAATTCAAAAAATATTTCATTCTTCCATCGATTTTTTTATTATTTCAACTCACTTTTGTCATTCAATTTTTTCCCCAAAACAATCTAGATTCAATCTCTCCGTAAGTTTAAAAATATGAATTTTATGACTTTATGCAAGATTCAATCATAAATCTAAAGATGATCAGTGTTTATTTTCTTTTGGCACTTAATTAAATTATTTTCAAACTCGTCTAAAGAAAAGCACATTATCCTTTCCACTTTGGCTAGAACTCTTTATAATTCGAGTTCAAACATGGGTGTCTTCTGATCGATTGCCAACTTTATGTGGTATTTGATACTTGATAAGTGCAATGCAATCAACAGAGTATATTTAACGAAATTGAGTAAATGGAAATCTAAAGTCAACTTAATATATATATAGAAAAATATGAAATAAACTGGAAATGGACCAAAAAAATCTATGGTGCCACCATAAGTCGCGAAAAACTGTAATTCCTTTTTAATTTTTATGTCTTACCCAACTCAGTTAATAATAGTTTATGCAAGAAAACTTGTAATCAAATTGGTTGTCGAATATATATATTAATTCTCTACAACGATAACAAAATCAGAGTGGCGCAGCGGAAGCGTGGTGGGCCCATAACCCACAGGTCCCAGGATCGAAACCTGGCTCTGATAGGAAAGAGTGGCTTCCAATAATCTGATTGTTTCTTTTTCTCTACGTCCACTCATTTTTTCAGATCAAATACTATCAGATATTAGAATAAAGTATGCAAATATTTCTTTCCCAATTTTTGCACCATTTATCTGCTCAGGTAAGCACAAATTTTATAAAATACTGGATAATATAATGTAATCCACCAATTGCAAATACTCAATCTTTATTGAAATACACATTATTAAAGGTTTACAAAATTGAATACCCGTTCAATATACTACACAAAATTGTTAGACGAACTGCTCATTAGTGTCTGTGAAAATGCACATTATCGATTTATGTTTTTTATATATTATTCTTTTTCAACCACAAAAAATGTAAAATGTTAAATATTAATACTAAGGTACTAAATATACTTTTATAATATAGATAGTAAATTATTTCAATTATTTAGAGTAATTCGATTAACCAATCGAATAAATTAAATATTTTAAATTCAGTTTTAGTCTTGTTTGGGACAAATCATTAAAAATGTCTACGCTACCAGTACATAATTGTGTTAGACGAATTGTACGTTAATGACTATCATATTACCGAAAGAAACCGATCGAACTATAATTTTTGGTCCAAAATTTTATATTTCAGTACGATTATCTTTTTTTTTTTACTAAAATAACCGAAATAACTAAACAGACTGAACTATATAAAAAATATTACTCCTTTGTATCTTTATATAAAAATATTATTTATTTTCAGCCAAAAATTATTAAATATTAAATATTGAAATAATAAATATGTTTTTTATAATATAAATAATATTTTATTAAAGTTATTTTGGATAATTCGGTTAACCGATCGAACAAACCAAGCAATTCGGTTCGATATTAATTTGAATTAGGACAAAAGTTCGGTAAGTTCAGACTGCACAATAGTGACCGAACTTGTGCACAATAGTGACCGAACTTGTGCACAATAGTGTTAGAAGAATTAGCTATTAATGTCTGTCAGACTGTACAATATCGGCCGAAACTAATAGATCTAAAGTTTCGGTTCGAAATACTTATATGTCAGTTCTATTAAATGTTTCTACTTTTAAACTTTTAATTATTTCGATTTATATTATTAATGTGTATTTATTTCACTTTTATTAAATTACACATTTGCCTCATTTACTAAAATGTAATATATAAACATTTATAAAATTGCAAATAAGTCTTAACGAATTATCAAATATTCCACACAAAGTCCCTATCCTCAAAATTATGGGCATTCTTGACCCGCAGCTCGCAGGCGTCGAACGACCGGAGAGGCGGCGAGGATGGGGTGAAATGTTAGCCTCGTCGGGCACCATTTTTAGTGTCAGTGTTGCTGAAAATTTCTCGACTTGAATGCTGTGGCCGAACAGGACACAAGAGCTGGCGCCGAGAAAAAACGATCATGGCCGGAGTTGTAGACGAGCCGGAGCACGCGGACGTGCGCGACAGACTAAAGCCGACCGACGATTCTTCAGGCATACGAACGAGTTGGACTTTTTTCCGTGGTTGATTCTCGCCGGAGTTTTGGAAATTCAACCTCGGCCGACGAGTCTTCAGTGGCCGCTAGTCAAGTCATGCATGAGATGGTTGCAGTGGGCGGCAGGAGGTGGTTGCAACGGGGCATATGGAAGACAGTTGCGGGAGGTGGTTGCACCAGGTTGCGAGAGCACGGACGGCTGCGAAAGATGCACAATCAAAAAGCGTGCGCACGCGCGTGCGTGTGTGTTCAGTGTGTGTGCGCCGTGAATGTGAGATTTGTGTGTGTATGTGTGTGTGCTTGTGTATGAGAGAGATGGAGTGGATTGGGGTGGGACCCACTAAATGAGTTGTAATTTTATTTAATATCCGTTCTACCCTTATTAAGTGGTATCATGAATACATTTGATCCAAATCTGTACACCATTTGCCATATTGTCATCACATGTTTAACTGTCATTATTAAAATTTGATTTAATCACAATGATTAATAATCCAATAATCCAGAATTTTTCTTATTACTTTAATTATCCCTATTTCTCATATGATCCTCCTTCTATACATCTATATACATATTTCCCTTTTAACTAAAATATTTGCAATTTACCCCAACTATAGAGTAGAGACGTGATTCTTGTTCCTTCCATGGCTTCATGAGTTGCATTCAGAAATTGTCATCACAAAATTCACAACAATATAGAAACAGTTACAATAATCATACAATCATTGCAATCAAATTTTTGCCAACCATTTTCCACAAAACAACCCAAAAAAAATAAAAATGACCTATATAATTTCAAATGGTTATTTTAAGGCGGCTCAATTAATAAGGCCACCAACGTACACAAGCAATAGAAAGTTAAGTTAAATCCTATCAATAATAATATCAGCTTGGCGCCTTCTGTGAGACCTTAGTTCTCACTGGAGATCACTGTATGGGAAAATCACTGTATGGAGGCCACCACAGAGAGCTCGACTTGTCCGGTCCACTCCTCACCCGGTTTTAGAGTGATCGGTTTCTCGATTGCGGCTGCATCAACACAGAGCATGTATTTGTACTCTTCATCCCCAAAATCGGACATGGCTTTCGATTTCTTGTCCCATGGGTTCCAAACGACTGTGATTGTTCGAGCCGCGTGCAAAATTAGCGAACGAAAAGGAAAATGGAATATTTGATATATTAAGGGGAGGAATATTTGAAATTACTAAAGTAGTTCTTGTCTTAATCCCCTATTATAAGATAGAATCTTGAACAATTAAAGTTTCTCCTAGTTAGTAGTGATCTTTAATTTATTTACAAAATTCAACAAGTGAAAAGTACCGAATGTACTATTGCTTACCCACATCAGGAAGCCCTTCTTTTCTGATCACGAAGGTTTGTTTTTTCTCGTGATCGAACACAGCAACTGCATCCGACGAACTTAGGTAAACTCGATCCACCTATGAAACGAGAAAAAAAGAAAAATATTTGGTCATGACTCATAAGTCACCAAAACGTAGGATTTGTGAATGATATATGTCTTTCAAGGGAAAAAGGTTTTTGTAAGAATAAGAAAAGTGAGAAGGAAAATCATACCTCAGATTCAAAGGTTAAGGCATCTCCTTGTTCTGTAAAACGTTCCCTGTTGCAAAGGTTGTCGAGATAGTCGAGAGTCTCCAAGCCCTCCACTCTTACTTCACTGTTAATTTTAAGAATCTCAGCTCTGCCTTTACGAGTTTCCAGCTAAGGAAACAGCGTATAAATCACGATAAACGTATATTTTCTACCAACATCATCAATAACTGCTTTCTTTATACCCGAATAAATGTTCTTCTTAAGGATTTTTCGTACTGAATTGAGAATCTTCTTTCAAAGTTATGTTAAAAATCGGAGAAAAATTTTAAGTATAAACTCACCTGATATCTGAGACCGAGAAATACGTGTGATAAGCAAACGAGAAACTAAAAGGCTTTCCATTCACATTACGCACGCGCGATATCAAAGTCAGATTTCCATCAAAAGTCAGTATCACCCTAAGTCGAAATTCGTAACTGGAAAAAAAAAAAAAAATGAAAACTGTTAATCCAATTATCAGGCAAACAGACATTGGTATCTGATTTCATTAAACATGAAATGGAAAGCACTCACGGTACATATATTATCCGATTTTTCGTACCCGTGAGGCCAAATCTTGAGATCATCATCATATGATTTAGTTAGCAAGTCAACATATGCATTGTAGCCAGGATCAAAGGACTGTAGAGGAGGAGGATTTTCATCAACGGCCCACATTCGGTTCCTCGCAAATCCATGTTGTTCTAGCGAACCACGTTTCCCAAACTTCAATCAACATATCATAACAATTTCCATATTAGTTCAATAATTTAATTTCAATATCCATAAGAAGAAAAAAAATAACAATACCTGTGGGAAACAAATAGGAATTCCTCCTCTTACAGCTGCCGGAGGCTTGTAAATCGCCTGCCCACGAAACAAGACTGGACGACGTAAGAATAGAGCAAAGTGCAATATCATATTCGAGAAATGGATAATTACTAAAAGTCGCCCTGAAATTGAGCCTAATTACAAACTGAGACAATTATGTGCTAAGATTGCTACTTGTAAAAGAAAAGTAAACGCCAGAGCAATATGTAAAACAGAGAAAAATAATAGACTGCGTTTGCAATTCGGTATAAATAATTAAATAGTGCGGAACATGTTGTAATTAATCCTCACAGGAAAACTATCCGAAGACAACTATTCTTGTAACATATCAGGCAACACAAATAGCTGCAAGAAAGCTTTTAAACTTAAGAAACAAGCAAATAGGAAACTGACACAATACCTTACTGCTAGTAAACAACAATTCTTCTCCCTTTTCGGTTTTCCACGATCGAACTTGCGCCCCATGAAGACTAACCTGCAAAAGAAAAATCAAACTCACAATTTTACCTTAAGAAATTCCAAAACTACATAAAATTGAAACCAGATAAATCTGATTAGAACTTCATTTGAGAAATATAGTTATACTAAAGATGTCCCGTACCCGAACAGAAGCCCCGCGAGGGCTCCGGAGCACAACCTGAGAAATTCCATTCTCATCCTTAGTGATTTCAACCGGTGCCAAGTGATTCATTTTCAAGAACACAATTTGAACACAAATTTCATTCGGACGCCCGACAAATTAACTGTATTTATACTTGCTAAAACCAGTTCAACAAAGAGAGGCACTAAAGTTTAAAGAGTGCAACAGGGCAGTGAAAAGAAGAAAGTTTTTGAGAACAGTTGAAAAAAAGCTGAGCCTTATCTTGAATCTTTCTCGTGACCAAATTACCAATACTCTTGTGAATGCTCAACAAAATCCCAACTACTAGTCACCGCCAGAAAACTTCAACTACAGTCGAGAACCGTTCAAAAGAATTTTACTAAAAAGAGAACAAAATTTTCTCTTGATTAGATATACCACAAAAATTAGTCCTTTATAAGAGAAAAAAATTCAGTGAGCATTTTGTCCTCATCATAACAAAGAGACGGTTCGAATACGGAGCAAAAGGGCTCTTTTTTCCTTATCTTTTGTTCTTAAAACAAGAAAAACTAAAACACACAAAAATGAAGGTCCTTAAAGAAGGCTGCTTTTAAAACATGGGTTAGCCCAATATTGACCTTGTACCTTCCTATGAACCCACATGCTATCTTTTAAATATATTTAGAGCAAAAAAGGAAAATTATGAAAAAAGATGATATCTTGACACCATTTATACCCTCAGATCATCCTGCACGAGATGGGAACTATATGGACACCCCACCTTTTTTTTCTGGGGAGGTCTTTATCTTATATGGACACCCCATTGAAAATTTGTAAAAATATATATACACATATACACATGTATGTACATATATATACAGCATGACATAAGCAAAGACGTCAGCTTCAAAGAATTAAAAAGCCAGCCAAATTACCTTGAATTAACTGTAATTCTCCCGGGTTGGGGTGTAAAGCAGGTCAACTTTTTTTCGCGGCAGCTGAAACAAAAAAATATATATATATAATAAAATATTGAAATTTGGAAAAGGAGATAATTTTTTTATTTTATTTTATTTTATTTTTTTTTTTTGGCCCTAAGATATGTCATCTGCTAGCCACCGATTCAGATTCAATTTCCTTCTCTCATTTTTTCTTGCAAGTGATCATTTTCATGCATTTGTTGGTTAATGTAGCCTGCTAGTCAACTGTTTTCCTGCTACCCATTTGGAAATCACAAATAATATGAAATCAGGGTGAGCTAGGATTTAAAACCTACTCAGCTAAAATTATAAATAAAAATTAAGGTATTGTTTTCAATGTATTTACATAAAATTTCTTCTAGGAATCATCTTCATCTTGTTTGATATGGGATACCAAACCAGGTCGAGTACGACCTAAAGAGTTGTCCAACCGGATCGGGTGAACCGACAGTTCGGTTTTAACATTAAGGACGTCAGAGGTCGTAGAATCATCAAGTCGATCGTGACCTCATAGAGAAGTTAGCCCACCAGCAGGTCGAGCTAAAACTCTTGGCTAGCATGATAGAAGTAGACTTAGAAGCGTATAGATCAATGATGCGACATAAGAGATGAACCTTAGACGCTGAAGGTTGGATCAACCTCGTTCAAAGGAATCCACGCTGGTAGCACAGTTAGACCATCTAATTAATGAGGTAAAGTAATGTGAATTCACCACATAAGATATATGAAATAATATAACTAAGATAAGAAAACAGATTGATAGGACTACGAGACCTAATAGAATTGGGAAGTTCAAACACCCGGGCAGAACAAACGGGTAGCTCGGGCACTCGGGCAGCCCAGTCGAGTAGTATTGGACAACAAGATACTCATATATATAAAGGGGTGAGATATGATTACTTACACTCTACACACTCTAATATACTGACAAGATATCTACAATTCTTATTGTTCATAATCTCCTTTGCATACTGACTTGAGCGATTGAGCTTCTACACTGAGACAAATCTCGTCACTATGTTGCAGGACTTTGAACCAGTCAAGAGCGGATCAAGGTCGTTCGAGCCGGTTGGGGTCATTTACACTACCATTTGGCGTCGTCTGTGGGAATTTCGTTTAAAAAGCCATAAAAACACCCCGACCAAGAGAATGAAGATCCCCGAATAAATATGAAGCCCACCTTCATCGAGGCTTGGGTCTCCAAACGTCCGTTAGGAGCAAGCCCAACACCAGGCTTTTCGAGGTCAACCCAAACATCGGTGATCCTGATGACCAATTATTCGGGTCTAGGGGGATCATCAGCGGCCCCAATAGCTATTGGAGGTTCGATCACCCAACTAAGGGGTATATCGAAAATTGAGGTCATCCTGGCATCCCCTGTGCAACCAGACCAAGTCGAGGTCAAGAAAATGGGACCACCAGCCAGTTGAGCTGCACCGGTAGGCCAACAGATGGTCACTGTCACGAGAAATGAGCTCAACAAGATGATTGCGGAGGCCACTGCCTCCGGATGTGCTCTACCGCAGTTGTCGGGCGCAGTAAATCCTACTACGATGGCAAGGAGAGAGGATAACAAGATTTCCTACAGCTCGACTTTTAGAGCCCGACACGACCTGGCAGTTGAGAAGATGATGCTTCATGCCCGGGAGTTGCATGCCATAGTGGAGGGGAAGCGAGTTGTCGAGGGCACCCTTTTGATCTACCAACTAGGTTCAGAGAGCTCAGTAGTCAGTACATATGATAAGTCCTCTTACCCATCCGAACATCTGAGGAGTTTTGGGAACATGGCCGTTTTACATGGCTATACCGATGCTATGACGTGCATAAAATAACCAATAAATCAATTCAATTATTTAGAGTGATTCGGTAAACTGATCGAACAAATTGATTATTTCAGTTCGGTTTTAGGTTGGCATGGAATAAATCATTAAAAATGTATACGATGCAAGTGCACAATAGTGTTAGGTGAATTGCACATTAATGACTATCGGATTGCACAATAGAGACAGAAACCGACCGAGCTAAAATATTCGGTTAAAAAATCTAAATCTCAGTTTGATTAGCTGTTTTTACTTTTAAAATCGCGATTATTTCAGTTCGATGTCGGTTTTATTTTACCTTTTTTTTAAATAACCGAAATAAACAAACCGACCCAACCACATTAAAAATATTATTATTTTTTATATATATTTTTATATATTTCGAGTGCACATTAGGATTATATGAACTAAACATTAATGACCATCAGATTGCACGATATAAAACGATATCGGCTAAACTAAAATTTTCCGCTAGAAATTTCATATTTCGGTTCAATCATTTTATTTTTTAATTTAAAAATTTTTGATTAATTCAATTCTATGATTATCATTTTTTTGTTTAAATAACTGAACAATTGAACTCTATAAAAAATATTATTTTTTTTTATATTTTTCTTATGAAAATATTCTTTTATTTCAGCTAATAAGATATAAAAATATTAAAATACTAATTGTATTTTGATTAATTACAAATTTGACCCATGAACAAATTTGTATTATACTCCCTCCTATTTTTTTTATTTGTCGTTTTGAGAACTAGCACTCTAATTAAGAACTTTTTTTTTACCAATGTTAACCCTATTGAATGGAAACTATAAATCTGTCTATAACTCCATTAAGTAACACAATTAATGATGATTAGTAAAAAGTAAATGAAGATTCTGTGGAAGAAAAGGAAAAAAAGTAAGACAAACAGAAAAATGTTTGGAATGCGTGGATCAAACACAAAGAAAAAAGTAACAAAAAAAAAAGAAAAAAAAAAAAAGCTTTTAAGATGAAAACCCATCAGCTTCCACCGTTTCACGTCTTTCTTCAAATTGTGTAGAAATTCATTTCTTAAGCTTTCATTTTTTGGAGCCAAAATTTCGACAGGAGGTAAAATCAAAATTCCCACTCAACATTTCAAATTTTGTGAAACATCTAAAAAGATCTATAAATATGGATATGAATAATTTGTGGAAGATGGATATAGAGAAATAAAGTGAGATGAAACATATAGATATTCATGGGAATCGTGATGGATGTTCTGGGAATGATGGAAATTGGAGATGAAGAGCCGCTCTGTAATAAATGGAAGGGCTAAAATTGGAAAAGTATGAACAAAATTGGTAGGACGACATTTATTTAGTGAATAACCTATTAACCTAGAATGACAAATAAAAAAGATAGAAGGGAGTATTAAATTTTATGAAATTGCAACTAAGTCCCTCTAAGAAATCAAATTTTCAAAATCAAATCCAAACTTAAAAATCACCCTAAATCTAATTTAATATCCCTGGTGCCGGCAACAACGGGACTAGTAGGGGTTGGTGGTGGCGGTGGGGGGCTAGTGGCTGCGGTGGGGCCATGGATGTGCAGTTGGTGGCGGCGGTCTTTAATGGTTGCAAGGCTGTCGGTGACTGCAAAATGCCAGGCGAGCTGATGACGACGACGTGCGGGCTTTAGCGGTTGCAGTTTTGTTGATGTCTGCAACATGACGGACTGGCAGATGACATTGGCAGAGTGATGACGGAGGCAACATGGTCGACAGGCCTGAAATTGTGGCTGACGGCAGTGGGGTGTAGACGGAGGTGGTGACGATTTGTGCTGGCGACGGCGACGATCTAATGGCAGACGACAGTCTAGTGGCGGTTGGCTATCTGCTGGATTGAAAGTGTTACCGACATGTGGTGGCTGCCCCGTCTGAAAACATGTACGTGTTATATGTCAATTATATACATTTAACCACACAATGTACACTTATTTACAAAATTGTCATCACATGTTTGACTGTCATATTTAAAATTTGACTTGATCATAATTATTGATATGTTGGATCTAATAATACAGATCTATTCTTATTTCTTTCACTATATCTTTCTCTCATATGATCCTTTCTCTTACTACCATATTCTAATTAATTATTACATTTTACCTAAGTTGACAATTCTAATTTTCCTACAAGACCTTATATATATCCATCTATTTCTTTTTTAAATAAAAAAATGATATGCAATTGCTCTCAAAATCTTGCAAAACCCTCCCTCCCAAGCAGGAAAAAGGGAAGGGAACTGAAAAAAGGGGAAAAAAAAAACCAAAAAAAAAAGAGTCCCTGATCTTTAGTATTCCAAATTCACAAATTCTGCGGAGCTACGAAATTCCTCTTAGACTTTTTCAGAGGGCTGTCCCTCTCGACAAACTCCCAGCTCCGAAGATTTCTTTTTCAGGTACATGTGTTTTTGGTTTTACTCACAGAAGCATACATCAGACAATCGTTAGTTCCAATAACAAGCACACAAATACATGGCGTTCATATCTTTGGCGTGATCGAGATAATATGAGTTGGAGCTGTTTGGAATTTTTGGTAAATTAGAAGACGAGTCTAGAACATTACGGTCATTTCATCCATGGAGAGAGACGACATCTCGTCGTAATTTCGTTATGATGCAATTTGGACTTTGCGGGTTTATAGAATTTAATTTTGGTGTAAAAGTCAACTCGTTGCCATTCGTGCTACTGATTCATTATTTGATCAGTTTTTAATTTATTGAGGCGTTTTATTGACAATATTGGATCCGTCAATTTAGGTGTCCATTACTTTGCAGCTTACATTTAAAGCTCAGTTGTCATGATGAAATACAATAATCTATTGATCAATTTGTTTGGTTGTTAGTTTTTGTTTGCTTCCGTTGTGAGAACAAGACGTTGATTTTAGATTCAAAGACTGACTTAGTTTTGGTTTTTGTCCCTTCCTGACTTATTTTAAATATCTTACTGCAGTTATGCCTCTTTTTTTTTTTCTAAGTTTTAGTGAAGCACCTTCACTTTTGATTAGTTTAAAGCCCACATGGAGGGTTGCCATTCTTTGTGATGGAGCATAAAGCTCAACAGGGGTGACTGCTTACTATCACTTGCCGCAGGTAAATTAAAAAAAGAGCTCTTTCTTGGCAAACTTGTGAGGTCCTAGATTTTTCTCCACATAAAAAAGTTCTATTCTATGATAGTTTCAACATTTTGGGTTTTTGAGGAATGCGTTATCTCATGCTATCTCATATTCTTTAATTCTGATTAATACTTTCAGGCATTGGACCGCGAAACAGAATAAGCTGTTTCTGGTCGATCTTTGTGTTGCTTTTAAATCAAAATGGCCTCAAATGCGACATTTAAGTGTCCGCCGCCCATGAAGGCAGCCTCCAACGGCATTTTCCAAGGAGACAATCCTCTACACTTTGCACTTCCTTTGCTGATAGTACAGATATGCCTGGTGCTCATCTTGACCCGTGGCCTCGCTTATCTTTTACGGCCACTCAGGCAACCGCGCGTGATTGCTGAGATAATCGTGAGTTTCCTCTTTTGTATTAGTAGAATTACCGCTGCACGACCATTGTGTACCACAATCACATTTTTTCTTTCTTCCTTTTATATAGAAAGTGTTTACAACGTTTAAAACCAATCCAAGTAAAAAAAACTAGTCCATTTGGTTAAACGTCAAATTTTCGAAATTTGACTTTCGATCGTATTGTGTATCGGCCACCGACAGGGAGGAATTTTATTGGGCCCCTCGGCCTTGGGTCGCAACAAGAAGTACCTGCAGGACATATTTCCTGCTCGGAGCCTGACTGTCTTGGACACACTTGCTAACTTGGGCCTTCTCTTCTTCCTCTTCTTTGTGGGTCTCGAGCTCGACCCAAAGGCCCTCCGCCAGACAGGCCGGAAAGTCATGAGCATCGCCCTTGCCGGGATTACCCTCCCTTTCGCCCTCGGGATCGGGACCTCGTTCGCCCTTCGAGCTACCGTCTCGGAGGGCGTGAGCCAGGGCCCATTTCTCGTCTTCATGGGTGTGGCCCTCTCCATCACCGCCTTCCCTGTCCTGGCACGCATCCTGGCCGAGCTCCGGCTCCTGACCACCGATGTCGGCCGCCTCGCCATGTCAGCAGCCGCCGTTAACGACGTTGCTGCCTGGATTTTGCTTGCTCTGGCCATAGCCCTGTCGGGCACTGACAGTTCCCCGTTCATTTCAGTTTGGGTGTTTTTGTCCGGTTTAGGTTTTGTGATTGCGTGTGTGTTTGTGGCCCCGCCCGTTTTTAAGTGGATGGCGAGGAGGTGCCCGCAGGGTGAGCCGGTGGACGAGATATACATATGTGCCACCCTGGCAGCGGTGCTGGCGGCGGGCTTTGTGACGGACGCCATCGGTATTCATGCACTCTTTGGGGCGTTTGTGCTCGGAGTGCTCATCCCGAAGGAGGGCCCTTTTGCCGGGGCGCTGGTGGAGAAGGTCGAGGATCTGGTCTCGGGATTGTTCCTGCCGTTGTACTTTGTGTCGAGCGGGCTGAAGACGAACGTGGCCACTATTCAGGGGGCACAGTCGTGGGGGCTGCTTGTGCTGGTTATACTCACGGCTTGTTTTGGTAAGATTTTAGGCACACTCGCGGTTTGCCTTTTCTGCAAGATTCCGTTCAGGGAGTCTCTCACCCTCGGCTTCCTTATGAACACGAAGGGGCTCGTGGAGCTTATCGTCCTCAACATCGGAAGAGACCGAGGGGTAAATCAATTACTTGTCCGACTTTGATTTTAATTATATTAATTATATGTGTGTTTCATCTGTTCCTTTTGGCTTTAGGTTTTGAACGATCAGACGTTTGCCATCATGGTACTGATGGCTCTATTCACGACGTTCATAACTACGCCGATTGTCATGACCATATACAAGCCGGCCCGAATGGCCCGAGCAGACTACAAGCACCGCACAATCCAGCGGAAAGAGAAGGACACCCAGCTCCGGCTCCTCACCTGCTTCCACAGCACATGCAGCATCCCGAGCCTCATCAACCTCATCGAGGCTTCTCGCGGGACCCAGCGGAAGGACAGCCTCCTCGTCTACGCAATGCACCTGACCGAGCTCTCCGAGCGCTCGTCGGCTATCCTCATGGTTCACAAGGCCCGCAAAAACGGGATGCCGTTCTGGGCCCGGGTCCACGACCCCGACCCGAACCAGATGACGGTGGCCTTCGAGGCCTTCCAGCAACTGGGCCGCGTCACGGTCCGGCCCACCACTGCCATCTCTTCCATGCCCACCATGCACGAGGACATCTGCAGCAGCGCCGCCAAGAAGCGGGCCGCATTGATCGTTCTCCCCTTCCACAAGCACCAGAGGCCCGACGGGCCTTTGGAGGCCGGCAGGCCCGAGCTGCGGCACGTGAACCGGCGGGTACTCGAGCACGCCCCGTGCTCGGTCGGGATTTTAATCGACCGTGGGCTCGGAGGGACCTCTCACGTGTCGGCTAGCAATGTCGATTATGCGGTCACGGTGTTCTTCTTTGGCGGGCCCGATGACCGGGAGGCACTCTCGTATGGGGTTATCATGGCCGAGCACCCGGGGATAAGCTTGAGAGTTGTTCGCTTCGTGGCTGTCCCGGGCCACGAAGTTCGGGTGGATGTGAGTGTGGATAGGGAGGAAGTTTTGAACGATGACGAGGTGTTTTTGGCGGAGTTAAAAGGGAAGGTGAGGAAGGATGGGTCGATCGGGCTGGAGGAGAGGGCCGTGGGTGATGTGGCGGGGGTGGTGGAGGTTATGAGGGATTATGGGAGGAGTAATTTGATTCTTGTGGGGAGGAGTCCGGTGAGTGAGGTGGTTGTGGGTTTGGGGGACGGTGGGGAGTGCCGGGAGCTGGGGCCGTTGGGGAATGTGTTGGCATTGCCGGAGTTTGGGGCATCGGTGTTGGTGGTGCAGCAGTTCAGGCGGGAGGGCTCGTTGGGTTGGGCGAAAGGTGGTGCCAGTGAAGAGGAGAGCTCTGAATCTTGATTCTCAGTGATTTGGTGTTTGTCTGTGTACATATCTCTGGACTTTGTTGGGCGAATAGAAAGGAAAAATTGGTATACTTGTCATGGAAATAATTGATTTTTTTATGTGTGAATCAAAGCACAAATTTTACATATCAAGTTTTACTAGTATCACGTGCGATTCCCGGAGTAGATATATTAAATGAGTTATTTTAATAGGACATGTCCGTTTAGGCTTGAAAAATAATAGAGTTAGATCCACTTCTTTTAATCACGTTGTTTTTTAGTTATAACGTTAAACTCGAGCATATTAGCTTAATTATGAATTAATATATTATTATGTCGAATCATTTACACTAATAAAAATTTGATTTTCGTATATAAGGGTGAATGTCCTTGAATCTCCAAAAGATTACATGTCAGTTTCCGTTGCTTTTCCGTATTAGTCATTACGATTTTCCGTATTAGTCATTACGATAGGACGATGACGCATTATACTTTCTAAAAAATCAATAAAATGCATTTTTATTATTGAACATATCATTAAGAACAAATCAATAGTTCAATTTAAAATATAAATCAACAAAATATATAAAAAAATTATTTTTAGACAATTAGTATTTTCATTAATCACTAAAAACAGTTATAAAAGTAAAAGAACATTACCAGTAATTTAGAGACCATCACAGCACGACACCCGAACAAAATCTGACACTAATTAAGTTTTGGCCCAATACTATTAAATTTTCGGACATAATTAACCCATATGTTCGGTCCAATGCGCCTATTTTTAAAGGATTACTCATCTATTATTTTATTCAGTTGATTATGAATTATTGAATTAAATAGTTGATTTTTGAATGAAATAAGATATTGTGAGTTTTGTGTGTTTTATGAGAGAGTATCTCGTTTATCCTTCCCACTCGTACGATTCCCTACATCCTACAACAGTTTGTTTATTCAATTTTGAACTTAGATATATGATGTATACTTTGTTGTTTTACAAATTTGTGTATATTTGAACTTTTTCAAGTTCGTCGCATATCAGAAATCTATATATAATGTTTTTCAATATCTCCAAAAGGTACACTCCAAATTTGACAAAAATAAAAATAAATAAATAAAAAACAATCGCTTTATTATTTTTTAAGATTGTTAAAAGTTTTTATACAAAGAACTTCGTTTTCAGACTTGAATTTTCATTAGTTTTATTAGTTCTCTGAAGTTCTAAAGATGCATATTCAAAGATAAATGAATTGCTTGAAATTCGATTGTTAACATAATTATATATTCGATTAATTTTAGTAAAATAATATCTGAATATTATATCATATTAATAAACAAAGTTGCAATTTTTCATTAGTAAAAATAAAGTTTTGTAGTATATATTAATTTCATTTAAATATTTAAAAATATTGTGTGACAATAGTGATGATTTTCGAAAAATGACCAAATCAATATATATGTATCTATTTAAAAAAAAAAAATGATATATTAGATATAAACATAAACATTGCAGTTGCAAATCAAAATAATTAGACTTATTTTCAAATTGAATTGAACCAATAACAATAGTGCCACATATTTAGGGAAAAAAATTAATCAGCCGTAGATAGTACCACATATTTAGGAAAAAAATTAATCACCCGCAAATTGACGCAAATCAACCGAAAACTTCAATTCGAAATAAACTAATTTCACAAATTAATTAAATGCTGTTGGATTTTACTCTTAAGAAAGAAAAAAAGAAAAAAAAAACTTACCCAAGTTGGTAAGTATATAATGCTGATCGGATTTGACCTGCCATTTTTTAAAATGGTAATTCTTATTATATATATATATATATATATGTATATGTATTGATTGGTGGTGTACCCAAATAATTGATTTTTTTGTCATGTTTGCATATAAAAATTTTTGGTTTTGTTTGAATTTTTTGGTTTGATTTTGGTTAATTTTGAAAAAGATGGAATGATTAGTTATTAGTGGGTATATTAAAATAATATTTAAAATAAAATAATTAAAATTAATTTGATGTAAAAGTTGAAGAGAGATGATTTGAAAGGATGGTTAATTAAAATAATGTGAATGGATGAATAGTGAATGAAAGTTAATATAATGTGTATGAATGATTGATTTATATTATTTAATTATATTGATGAGAGTGGAGTTGAGTTAAAAAAAATAGTTAGAGTTAAAATGTTACAATTTTTTTTAAAATTTTTGTATGCAAACATAGTGGATTCCCTTCCATGGCCCTGCTTCTGTGAATATGAAGTCATACTGCTCTACATCTCTGCTTTTCACTTTTGAGACACTTTGGAAAATTGAGGGGATAATTCGAATTGCAACCTTTGAAAACTTGCAAATCTTAAAATGTTTGATTTAAAATTGCTATTTTGGAGTGGTGGTGGTTTTTTTTTTTTTTCNTAGCTTAGACTTAGACATTACCAAGATCTTTAATCACGTCTGGAATTCATTTCCTTATCTGCACGTCTAATCTATATTTATATCTATATTTATATAAATATAAAAAAATTTGGCCTTTACCTGTAATAACAACTAAAATCCCGCCTAAATAATTTATTTTTACCTTTTATAGTAAATTATTTAAAAAAATTTAAAAGATGAGCGGTCATTTGTTTGAAATTTAAATTGTAAAAATCAATAACTTTTTTCTCTCCTAAGAAAAAAAAAACCCTCGCCGACTGCGCTCTTTCTCTCCTTCGCATCGCTCCGCCTTCCTCGCCGGCGGCGCGGCTTCGGCCCGCCGTCGCCCTTAATCGCCTGTCCTACCCTATGTCTCCTCGGTCGGCTGCGGTTGCTGTGGTGAATCGGAGACCGACGATCTGTCCCTGCCTTAGGCTGCCGGCGAACTCGCAATTGAAGGTGGTAAGCTCTTTGGTCGGCGATTGGTGGTGTCGATTGCTGGCGGGTCTCGATTGGAGGTGGTTGGCCCCAAAATCTTATTTGGCCGTGGCTGGAGGGTTCCTTGCGGGCGGCTCTGCTTCTCCGATGGGCCCTGAAGGGGCTTTTCGTTTCGGTCGCCGGCGGACTATGGTGATGGCCGGTCGGAGGGTCTGCAGGTGGGGTGGGGCTCCGGAGGCTGTGGTGTCTCTTGTTGGAGTAGCCGGAGCTGGGGGACTGTGCCGCTCTCTTTCTCCCCCCCGACTCTCTGGTGTTGGGGTCGGGTGGGTTCCGGAGCAACCGAGTTTAGCTAATGGTGTTAGATAAATTCGGGTTGTGAAGGCGGGAGTTGGTGTTGCTTTCCCTCAATTGGGGGTGGATCATTCTGGGGCTAGGTTTGGGGTTAGGGTTCGACTGCTTGTATAGGCGTTTTCGCAGTTTCGGTAGTAGTGCCTGGGCTCGAGATTTTCCTTGGATTGATTGATCTCTGCAGGCTGTCTACGTTGGCCGGTTGGGGAAGGGCTTGAATGTAGTAGTTTAGTTTTTTATTTCCTGTGTTTTTTTCCTGTGTTTCGGTCGTGTGTTGCTTAGGAATCGTGTTTTGGTTTGGGTTGTTGCCTCGGTGTTTTTTGTGTTTTGTATTTTTGGTTTGGGCCGTTGGCCCATGTGAACCCGAGTGTCAAATTTATTACTCCGTTGGGGTCCGACACTAGGGTATTACCCTGTTGGGGTCCTTGTAGTTGTTTTAATTGTTTGTGTTGTTGGTTAGTTTAGTTGTGAGTGTGTTTTTTATTCTAGCGTTAGTCGGGATTCTAGGCGGGCTTCTGACCTGTCCTCTCACTTTTTCAGTTGTTGACTGCTGTGTATTCGCACATTTGTGCATTTTGATTTATAAAATTTTCTATCGTTTCGGGAAAAAAAAAAAACAATTGCGGCTGTATTCATTCATTCATTTGTCTGAGATCATTTGGTCCAAATACGGGTACTATAACAAAGGAAAGTGTTAATAATTAAGTTTAATTAGTGTACATAATTTTAATCAAATCTTAAATAAGTTTAATTACTGTGAGTAATTTAAATCAAATCTTTTAGTAAACCTGGACTATTGGGATTCTATTTCATGCATATCTAAATAAAAATATAAATATTCCTTAACAACCAAATATGGTATATTTAATCAAAATTAATCCTACAATATTTAATACTTCGTGTACTTCATAGCCGAGATAAATTTAATGACTGTACATGATTTGATGATCTAGTCAAATAAAAAAATTAATCTGCCATAATCTTCGAAATTTTCTTTCCAACTGGAGAGCAACCAAATCACAATATTTAATCACAATTATATACTGCAATATTTAATACAAAATACTTTAATTAAAGATTATCAATACAAAACACGATATTCATATTTATATGTATTGAAAGAGGATGGTCAATAAATCACTTGTGAAAAGTTGATTAAAAGTTTGGGTCAAAACCTTTGATTTACTTTTTTTAGAAATCCCATTTAAATTCTAATGTTGCAATATTTATTTGCATTTTTTGTTTTCCAAAACTATAAATTGTAATATAAATAGATACTTTTTGTTTTCCAACATTACAATTTGTATCTATATACTACAATAGATTATTTCCATTTAAATTTTAATGTTGCAACATAAAGCCAACAACTTCCCTATCTTTTGTATTTGATTTGTATGTCCTATATCATAAAATCCGATTTCACCATTTGCAAATATTTTGTTAGGATATTTTGAGATCCTGATTTTTTGTAACAAAATTTAAATTTCTGATATAATCCTTTTTTGTTTGAATCCTTCATTTTTTGTAACCAATTTGATCAGTTTAGATGACACGTGTATAATTAGATATTTAAATAATTTGTGCCTAATTATAGAATTATTTTTTTTCTACAAAGTGCGATTTTATTCCCTTTTCTAAGATATTGAAAAAATCTTAACAAATAACAAATCTATTCTATTTGGTTGTTGAGAATCCTATGGCTTCTATATCTTCTAATATTATTGAGAGATGTTAATAATTAAAAGAAGCAATGAGAATCAGATTAAATCCAATTATCGCTAAATAAATGATGGGCCAATTCTAGCCATTTTAACCATAGGGCCAATCCGTGAAAAAAATATTTAGCCTACTAACATTAACTTATTTTTGTACCAGCCCAATTATATTTTTCTGGTTTAATTTAATAAGTTTTAATCTTTTGTAATATGATTTTAAATACATAGAGTCCTAAATATGCATATTTATAGTTAA